GGAGCCGGGCCTAGGCTCCGAGCTGGCCTCTGGCCGGCTCCCCACGCCCCTGGGGCCTCAGTCTCTCCTCTCGTCGAGAGCAGGTGGATGCAGCACAACGCAGCCTGGCCTGGCAGTGACTCACTCGGGAACCAGGACCGGTGGCGGCAGGCTCAGAGGGGACAGCGCCAGAAGGTGCGGGACCACCCAGCACAACTCCGGCGGAAACGCAAGATAAGGCTGCGACCTCCAACCCCTCAGCGCCGGCGGAAATCTGGGCGCGGGCTGCAACTTGGAGCGGCACAATCCGGCATAACCACGCAAGTGGTCTCTTAGTGCCCCCTAGTGGATTGGAGCTGAAAATCGGATCCGCCAAATATCCAAGCATCCCTCCATCTTCCCCGTCATTCCACCTGTCTATCCCTTCCTCCCTCCACTTATCCGGAAAGGGAGGAATGGGGAGTTGTTTAATGGGTACAGGGTTTCAGTTTTGCAAGATGAAGAGAGTTGGGGAGATGGACGGTGGTGATGGTTGTAAAACAATGTGAATATACTTCACACTACTGAACAGAATGTTTAAAATGGCCAATATGGTAAGTTTTTTGAGTATTTTATCACGATTTGAAATTTTGAAAATAACACATTGAAATGCAGTACCATAAGCATTTAAAATAGTTGTTTATAGTAGGCTAGTTTAATCAATTGCAGTTATCATAATCATTCTATAAAAATTAATATCCACTCATAACCTTTAAAAAGTCGGCCCTGGCTGGTGCATCTCAGTGGATTGAGCGTGGGTTGCGAACCAAAGTGTCGCAGGTTCGATTCCCAGTCAGGGTACATGCCTGGGTTGCAGGCCATGACCCCCAGCAATGGTACATTGATATTTCTCTCTCTCTCTTTCTCTCTCCCTTCTCTCTCTAAAAATAAACAAAATAAAATATTTTATTAAAAAAGTCTTAGAGTTCTAGAAATAGAATATACATCATAAACCATCAGCCAACCTCACACAATGGTAAAATCATAGAAGCAGTCTTCCATTTTCACTCTGGAAGTCCTCCCAAAATAGCCAGGGATGTCTGATGGCCTCGGCTAGGAAAACCCAAGGTCCTAAGAGTGGAAAACAGATGTGCTCAGCTATCATGGTGAAAGATAATGGGCCAAAGTCACACATCATTGTCCTGGAGTGCCCAGGTATTCAGGCAAGAAACTTAATAATCCTCAAGCCAAGAAAGTGTAAGTGATCAGCTACAAATATCTCAGTAATCTAGTCAGCAAAGAAGGTCCTAAGTTGTTCAGGGAAGCCCAGTTAACGAGCCATCTAGATTCATTAGTCAAGAAGGTTTTCAAGGGTCATCTACCATGGACAGAACGAAAGTTCAATCTCACTGTTGAGGTTATCAGTCTTTATCTAGGACCCCATTCCCCTGGGCCCAGTTCTGCCAGTTTTGAAGAGAGAGGGCCAGCACCTCCTATGCCTGTCCCCATGGCAGAGGTCTGGGTCACTTATCCCATTACTGAGCCCACACTGATCCCTTCTCCAAAACCAGTGGCCTTTAGCCCAGGACAAAAATGAACATGAAGCAAAACTAGAGAGGCTGAGAGGGTCCTTAGGGGACTCAGGGAGAAGGAGGTGCTGAGGCCTAGGTGGAAGCTGACCCTGGTGGAGAGACCCTCTGTCTCATCCCGGTCTGTCAGAGTATTCAGAGAGGGCTTGGGGCTGCTGGAGACTCCAAAACAGGCCAAGACCCAGGCCATGAGGCAGCTCAGAAAGAACCAGTTCAAACCCCGGGGAGCTGGGCTGGTCAAGGCTTCCATCAGGCCTCAGTTCCAACCTGCAGGAGCCCGAGCCTATTGCTTCCGGTAGATGCAGTAACAGAGGAGCAGAAAGAAGACAAGGACGAAGATGGACAGATACAGCAAGGTGTCCAGCATGCTGATCATCCTGAGTGTGGGAATGGGGCCTGGCGCTCCTGCAAGCCTCACTGGACCAGCTGCTGACGTCCAGCCTAGACCCTGGGCATCAACTCCACGGAACAATCTGCCCAGCCAGCTGTCCCATTTCGCCAAGGGAAGGGCCTCTCTCAGGCACTGTGAGGTCACAGACTCTAGAATGCTTGCCTCCTAGCTATAGCCCAATCCTATATTCATGCAGCCAGTAAGTTGAAAACAGGATCCCTCCTCATATGTATTCATAATTTTTTTTTGCCAGCCTCTTTAGACTTTCTAAGTGGAAGTATCTTTGCCCTGACCCTAGAGAAATATCAGACAGGCTTCATAGCTTTTCTGACATTCTTAGGTAGTTCGTCTTACAATCACTAAAAGTGAGGAACACAGTTTCCATTTATTTTAAATGTCCAGTTGAATGTATTAATTACATTTTCAATGACCATTTGTAAGTAGAACTCCTCTCCACCAGCTTGGACTGAGTATAGAGTAGGCTGCCGTCTGCTGGGAAGGGGCGGGAGCCTTCTGTCCTTACTTATTCAGATGTGTTTCTCTTCACCAGGTTTCTGCTCACTCTCCTGTGTCCAAAACCTCCAGGATCCAAACAGATGGAATAAAGAGTGGGGTGGAGGGCAGGCTTCTCTCTGGGGTGGGTTCACGTTTGATGCCGCACCCTTCTCTCTCGGCCTCTATTTCCAAGGTTCTTCGGAGGCCTCGGTGCTGGTGCTCTCTGACTGCATCCCCCGAGAAGTGAACAGGCCCTCTTCTTAGGGTTCCCTCCTCTTCACAGGTCCCCACACGGGCAGGACCTTTAGGGTGGCAGGCACACATTCCTACCACAGATCCCACACCTGCTGAAGGAGACGAAGAATCTTTGTCCAGGTAGTGGTTGAGGCACTGGCCACCTGTTGCCATATGGTGATGATAAGAAATACATATTCGGTCACTCGGATGACCACAGTATGTTTCTCATATATATGTGGTCTTCGTCCAAGGCTCCTTACTCACAACTCCCAAAACCTTTGGAATTTCTTAAGCGTTGAAAGTGATAAAGGTGAGTACACTGACTTTTAGAAGCACCTAAGCATGGGGCTGGTTGCCCAGAGAACCAACCAAAGGATTGAGGGTTGAAACTTTCAGTCCCAACACCCCCCCAATCCGCCCCTGACCTCTGACTTTCGGGGAGGAGAGATGGGCTAGAGACAGAAACAATCATCAATGGCCAGTGATTTAGCCAATCATGTCTTGTAATGACGTCTCCATAACAACCCAAGAGCAGGGGGGTTGGAGAGCTTCCTCTTAGGATGCCCCAGGTTCACAGGCAGGGTGGTGTGGAGGGTGTGGAGGGTCCTGCTGGCAGCCTCCTGCTTGCTGCTTCTCTCCTCAGGCTCCAAAGGGCTGATGAAATCCTGATGGCCTTAGACCTACCCTGAAGGATACAAACACAGCAGCCGCCAGTCACGTGTGGCTACAGAGCACTGGAAATGTAACTGGTCCAAACTGTAATATGCTGTTTGTGTAAAACATGCCTGGGATTCCAAAGACTTTGTAAAATGAAAAAACAAATAGTAAATATGTTGTTTATCAGTTAAAAAGATTGATTATATGCTCTAATGGTACTATTTTGGTTATCTTGGGTTAACTAAAATATAGTACTAAGATTAATTTCATCTTTTGCACCTTTTTAACATGGCCCCTAGAAACTTTAAAATTGTGCATGTGGCTGGCATTATATTTCTACTCACCATAGACTTTTCAAACACAGCACACTGTTCCGCATCATAAATAATCCCACAGGGTCCTCACAGCGACAGAAGCCCTGGGCTTTCTCAAATACCAAAGTATCGCAACTGCCTTGACATGGCCATTTGCTCTGTGTTATGCTCTTGATCTAAATCATTTCACTTAATTAGCACAGCCATGCTATGAGGAGGGGAGCTCTGACTCTGCCCATTTTTCAGAAAAGGAAAACTAAGGCTCGGCAGAGAAGTTAGGTCACTCAGCCAAGGCCGCAGGGAGAGAAAGAGCAAGTAGGAGGCAGGAGAGGACAGCAGATCTGGGCAGCCACAAGTGTACACACCTGACCCCTGCGTCCAACATCCTCACGGCCACAGCACTCCACGGTCCCTCCCCATCACAGAGACCCCCAGTGTCCTCACAGTCTTAAAACCCTAACAGCTTCTCCCATGCTCACAGACCCCCATTTTTTTCTCTTCCCTGCATACATCTGGATTGGATTTCTGTGACATGCTTAGTGAGTGTCTGGGGTCTGACTGAGGGAGCACTCTCCTCAGGCCGGAGGGTCAGCTATCTACACGTCAGAATGCTGGGCGAGTTAGGGGCAGGGTTGCCCCAGGTCTGAGAGGCACATGGGACCCAGGGAGCAGGCAGCGTTGGTGCTTGTGAGATATGGAGGCCACGAGTCCCCTCCCAGCCCTGTGTCTAGTGTGATGTCGGGAGCACAGGACCTCTGTCTCCTGTGTCACTAGGCGAACTCCCCACCAGAAGTTCCTTCTGCTTCAAGGACTCTCCACACTCTATTCCCATTTTAATTCTAGGACGGGGTTCAGCAAAGCACCTGCCCACGTCTCTGGGCACATCTCATGTCACCCTTACATCCCAGTCTCGGGCCACTGGAACAGTATTTGAGACTGGTGATGTCCCAGTAAATACATGGACAGAATTCATTCATTTGTTCAGCTGTGCCAGCTGCTGAACTAGGTGCTCTGAATACAACGGTCACCATGCAGAGTCCTATCGTCCAAACTAAACACAGTGAACACCAAGCTCCTGCTAACAAACGCTCCTCACGTGTAAACGTGATCATTTTTACATATTAATGATGTCAGTAACCAAAGAACACCTTCAGAACAAATAGAAAAGCAAAACATGTTGGGGGGTGGTTATTTGTATAATTTCAGACGGTTTCGGGAAATTATCCCAAATGCTCGAGTCAGAATTTAGACTCCGCTCCACTAGGGGCCCCGCAGAGCCACTTGCGCCAGTTGCGCCCAGCGAGGTGCCGCTCTAGGGCGCAGCCCGCGCCCCAACCGCATTTCCGCCCGCGCTGAGCAGCTGGGGCAGTGTCGTGCGGCGTGGCTGCCGTCCCCGTCGTCCCACACCATCTCCCGAAATCCTCAGACATCTACGCCTGCCCGCTGTATCAGCTGTCTCTCCGCCGCTGTCCCGCACGGTCGGTTGCGGCATTGGGGTGAGTCCAGTGCGGGGAGCGCTGGGCGGGTGGTCTGCGCTTCTTCAGTGAGTCCCGGGAAATTTGAGGCCCAGAGGGGCGCGGAGAGCCCGCAGAGGTCAGCCTCGAGCCTAGGTCCGCTTTCCAGTTCCGTGCGGGTTCCCTCCGCGGGGTGTGGAGCCCTCGGGGTTGGTGACCTGGAGAAACGGGCCTCAGGTCAGCCGACGCTGCTTCGGAGCGGGCCGGTGCGGGCATCGGGACCCTGTCCTCACCCACCACGTGGACAAGCCTTGGGCCCGCTGACGGCCAGAACCGGGCCGGCGGTCCCGCAGGGAGTTGTGCGGAGCCGTGTGTGACCTTGGCCCTGAGGGGCGCTGATTTCCACTACCCTCACCACCTCTGATTCCCGGTTTGTGATCCAGGCAAAGCCCCTCGGCAGTCGGTTGCCTGCGAAGTGTTCTTACAGCCGTTAGTTCATTTCCCCTTAAAAACGTTTAAAGGAAAGTTTAAACCTCCGCTTACAGATCTGGTGGCTGAGCTTTAAATTCCAGGACATTCCCAGGACCCCAGAGTCTGGATTCCTGGCCCCCTGCTCTGTACTAAATCTCCTTCCCCGCGCTTTTCCCTGCCTAGGCCTTTCCACTCTGTGGCTCTTGGAGACAGATGGCAGTGCTCCGTTGGATGGCCCTTGGGGCTCTGCACCAGTCGGCGCCCCTTCTCTCCTGCAGGACCCTGATCTCACTGCCTGATGGGCCAAAGAGCTCGTTCGGGTTTTCCGGTAAGATGGCTGTATGGTCCAGGTAGCCCTTAGTTGTCTTTAACTTCATTCGAAACAATTTCGTTAGATTGTATTGTGACAGCCGTTGCATCAGCCTGCATTTTTAAAAAAGTTATCAAAATTGGTGAATTTTTGTGTAGCCATTTTAATGTTGAAGGTGGAAGAAAACAAGCAACATTTTCAGCATACTGTGCTTTATTATTTTAAGAAAGGCAAAAATGCAAATGAAATGCAAAAAAAACCCCTTAAAAGATTGGTGCGGTGTATGGAGAAGGTGCTGTGACTGGTTGAACATGTTAAAAGTGGTTTGCGAAGTTTTGTGCTGTATTTACCCAGGGGACAGCAATGTACCCTCTGTACAAAAAGTTTGTTCAGCTTTTAAGTAAAAATAAAAGACATTCTTCATTTTCACCAGTAACTTTATTGAACCGAGTATTCACCGTTTTGTTCCACTACCTTCTGCCGTCTTTCAGGCAACTTCATGATTCCATCTTCCCCAAACTTAACTGTTCCAGGTGCCTTTTGCAGTCTCCCAGGGAATTGAAAATTTTTCCATTAAGACAATTTTGTGAAGACCAAAATAAATGGAAATCTGAAGGTGTGCTGACTCAGCTCCTCCTCAGCTGCATAACCTTGGGTGAGTTTGCCCATTCTCCTGTTTTCCTTCCCGTGGGGAGACTAGCAGCTCAAGAAAGGCAGACGCCTTGTCTGTTTTTCTTTATTTTTGAACCCACAGCACAGGGCACATAGTAGGTACTCAGTGCATACTTGTGAGTTGAATGCAGAATTGAGGCATGTGTACCAGAAGTTGGTCTTCCTCTTGATGGGGGGAGGTGGAATCTACGTGAGGTGACGATAGTGTTCAGGGCGTGGCTGGGCAGCTGTCCCCTGCCTGGGCAGGCAGCAGGCTGTCAACATGGGCTTCTCGTCCTGGCTGGTTTTTTGCCCCTGCATTCGAAAGTGATCGTGGGCTGCCCGTGCCCTGGTCATTGATAGTGCAGGGATAGCAATTGCTGAAAGCATTTCCCCGTGTTTGGAGGGCCCGCCTGTCCCTTGCAAACCCTGCAGCTGTCACACATGTCCACCCGCCCACCAGCTCTTGGATGCCTCCTGGCCCCAGGTGTCTGGTTTATCGAGTGCTCTCTCTGCCGGGCTCTGCTGGTTTCCGTGAGGCCTTAACAAAGGAGGTTGAGAGCAGGTCCTGCCCCAGGCAGTGCTTGGGTTGGGCGTGGAGCCTAGGCTGTGGTCTTCTGACACTGGTCTCGCGTGTCAGCAGCTCTGTGTCCCTTTCTGTGCCTGTGTTTGAAGTGAGTACAGGCTGGCTGTGTCCTGTAATGCAGGCACCTTTTCGGGACGGTTTTCCTCATCCTCAGAGTATCCACCCTTGTCCCTTCCTAATGGGACAGCGTAAGTGACTGGCAGTGACTGAGCATGATGAAGCAGACTGAAGATCCAGGGAGCCGGGCTGGCAGTGTGTTCATGTCTTAAGACTGGGATGCCCCGCGTGGCTTTCTGTTGATGATGGTTTTCCAGAGGTGGAAGCATTGCCAAGTGGTCAGTCACATGCTGACTCTTGTCCCCTGCAGGAGAGTCGTGTGACTGCTGTTCCATGTACATGAGATGTGTCCTCGGGGAGAGCCTGGGTTATGCGGTCCGGGTAAGTGATGTCCCATCCTGTCTGGTTCTCTAGACCTCAAGCTCTGCGTGGGTGACGAGGTGTGGGGGGTGAGAGCGCAGGCGAAGGCTGCTGGCTGTGCTCCCAGCTCTGCTCCTTAGCCAGCAGGCACAGGCCTGGGCGCTCTTTTCTGCTCCTGAGAGCCCTGCTGGGGGCTCCTGAGCTGTTGAGAGGAAAATAGCGGTGTGTGGGGATGGACGGAGGGCAGCCTTTTAGAGGCAAACCTGGGTTCACGTCCAATCATTAGCAGAGTGCTCTTCTGTGAGCCTGAGTGGGGATCCTGTGAAACGTTCAGCATTGGCCCCACGCACACTCAATCCTTCAGCACCCAAGGACTCTCGGTATTCCTGCTGCTAAGTGTTCCTGAGTATTCCTCCTCAGTATCCCTTTAGCTGTCAAGTTTTGGCCGCAGCCTGGTCAGTAGTCTCTGACAATCAGATGTGGCTTCTGGCTTCCTAGGTTGTAAGTCTGGTCACTGACCTGTCTACTCAGTCCAGGCCATTTCTCAGGCTGCTGGCAGTGGCCTCCCTTCCCGCCTCACCAGCTGCTCTTTTCTGCACCTGCATTCGAAAGTGATCGTGGGCTGCCTGTGCCCTGGTCATTGATAGTGCAGGGAGAGGAACTGCTGAAAGCATTTCCCCGTGTTTGGAGGGCCCGCCCTTGTCCCTTCTAAACCCTGGAGCTTTCGGACACGTCTTCCCACTGGTCGGTGTTAACTTCCTGGTACCTGGCGCTGTGTGGCTCACTGAGAGGCCCTTCTGCTGGGCAGGGCTCTGCCTCGCAGGGGTCATGGTTGGGGCTGGTCACTCTGCTCCTAGGGCTCCCCTCACGGAAGCTTTCTCTGCCTCCTCCCCAATCACACACACCCCTTCCCACGTCCTCAGCCCTACCGCTCAGCACCAGTCACACCTGGAGGTTGTTGATTTGTCTATCACACCCCCATGCTGTGATCTTCTCGAGGGCGGTGCCTCCGTCTTGTTTTGCATTGTGCCTGGTGCTGACATGATGCATCTGGACGAAATGAAACAGAACGGGGCAGTGGAGGTGGGTGAGGCCATGGTGTGGTATGGTGGGAGGGCTCATCCCAGGGGGCCGTCAGGGGAGCAGATCCCTTAAACAAAGCCTGGGGCTGAGACATTGCCAGCCCCACCCCTGCAGTGCCGTTTCTCTATTGAGAGATAGACTTCTTTGGCCTACCTTTAGTCCTGGCAGGGACAGGGCCCATGGTTCATCAGGGTGGTTTTCCCTCTTCCCTTAGGTTAAGGGGCAGGGGCTAGAGCAGTAACAGAGCTGGGCCAAGCACCGTATAGTTGAGGATGTGTAGGTAAGCCGTCCCCAGACTGGACAGACGGTAGACTGGTAGACGAGTGCCCGTTCGTGGCTTGTCTCTTGCAGACGGGTCTGCGGGTGCCAAGGTGCTGTGGGAAGCATCAGCCATCTTCATGTCAGTCTGTATCAGCTGGGCGCTACACCATGGGGCCCTGAGGTGAGGATCTGGGGCCATCTGGAATTTCGTTGTTTTGCATCTGTAAAGTCACAGGTGTATTTCCCTGGGCCTGGGTGAAGCTGTAAGGCGAGGGGAGGTAAAAGTGGCATCCTGTGAGTTTGCATTTGTGTTCCCGGTCTGGGGCAGTCCCTCACATGCCTACAGGGGAGGGGCCTCCAGAAACCCGCTTGGGGAACGGGCTCCCCGGGGCACCTCCCTTCCAAGTCCTGGAGTGGGGGCCATGTGCTGCGAGGGAAAGACCTGGATTTAGACACCGAGACTTTGGTCCCGCCTCTGAACCCATGTAGTTCTGTGTGTGACCTAGTCTCACCCTCTGCTTCATCTGAAAGTCAAAGCTGGGATAGCAGAAGAGGTTTTTAAATTCTTTTCATGGCGGTATCGTGACCATGTGGTCCTGATCTTTTCCAATCCAAAAGCCCTTCCCGTTTTTCCCCGCAGGAAGTGTTTGACTCCATAGCAGGGAGGTTTCGTGGGGTCTCTGCAGGACATACCAGATGCTGCAGGGGCCCTGTGTTGGACCAGGTCACTCCCTGACCCGGGCCATTCCCCAGGCACCAGCACTCCGCCCTTCCTGGCTCTCTCTCTGTCCCTTTCTGCTCCTGCATCCGAAAGTGATCGTGAGCCGCCTGTGCCCTGGTCATTGGTAGTGCAGGGAGAGAATTGCTGAAAGGCATCTCCCCGTGTTTGGAGGGCCCAGCTGTCCCTTCCAAACCCTGGAGCTTTCACACACCGGCTTTTTCCTCCTGCCGTCCCCTCCAAAGCGGGGACCTTTGCTGACCCCCGTGTGACGTGGGGACGGGGCTGGACCCTGGACTTGTGGGCTTCGCTTTGTCATTGTAGGCTCCAAATCGGTCCATACGGTTAAATTTGGACCTCACAGTGGAGTGCATTCAGATCGTGCTGGAGGGCACGCGTGAATCTCGGGTTCTGCTTTACGAGTTTGCAGAAATGTAGGGTAATCCCTGATACGTTACTCAAACAGCCCGCGACTGAGCCGCTTGTTTGTGCTGTCTTTGCGCCTCGCCTCTTCCTTGAGCACAACGCGTATTGCTTCTCCAGGAACCACCAGGGATGTCCAGTAAATGCAGAAGGACAAATAAAGGAGGGGGCCAGGGGTAGAGGCAGAGAGGGGTTCTGTCAGTTCTGAATCAGTAGGAAACTTTGTGGGCCACAGTCTAGCAGGAACCTGAGGTGTGTTCTCGTCAGGCACTGAGGAGAGAAGAGCACGTGGACTGACGACCTTCCACTGACTTTTCATCTGTGCTTGTGTGGGTTCTCTTTTATTTATTTTTTAAGATTTGTTCATTTTTACAGAGAGGGGAAGGGAGGAAGAGAAACATTGATGTGAGAGAGAAACATGAATCAGTTGCCTCTCAAACGTGCCCCAGCTGAGGGTTGAACCCACAACCCAGGCATGTGCCCTAAACAAGAATCAAACCAGCCTTTTTCGCTCTGTGGGGCAACACCCAGCCAACTGAGCCACAGGTCAGGGCTGTGCTGTTCCTTTTGAAAAGGATTTTTCTTAGAGAAGGAGTGTGCAGGCCTGTGGGTCTTTGGGATCTGTTTGTGGCTGACGACGCCCTGGCTCACGTCCTGGTTCACATCAGAGCACCGTGTTGCTGACCGGGCCCCCTCTGGCACCAGCAGGTGAGCTGACCTTCTGCCTTTGGTTCCTCGCACTGCAGGTGAACCTGCGGCGCTGCCTTCACCTCGTAGACTCAGATGACGCAACGCAGTGCCCCGGAAAGTCATGTCCTGGCTGAGGTGAGGTCCAGGTGTCCATCCCAGGGAGCCCCGCTCTCAGTCTGGGGGCCCCTGTCTGGTTCCCAGGTCCTTTTCCATGGGCGTTCCCGTCTCTCGTCTTTGAGGATGGGGTGCAGTTCTGCCATGTGTTTCTGTCCATCTCAGGATGGCATGCAGGTGATGAGAGAACCATTCGTGAGCTGCCTGGGACAGGCAGCCACCTGATAAACTTGAGATTTCCCTGGTCTTTCCAGCCTGTCCCTTGGCCCCTTTACATCAGGGGCTTGTCCTGCCCCACAGTCTAGTTCCTGGGCCTGGGCTCCACCATCAGACCGGAGGGTTTAGTGGATAGTGGTGACCATTTAGAAGACAGTTTTTTATCCCCCCAGCCGGAACCCCAGACCTGGTAGTCCAGATGTCTGGGTGCACAGTCCTGGAGGCTGAGTTGGGGCCCACATGTGTGATGTGCTCAAGCTTCCATGGTGCGTTTTTGTTTAGCCTTCACGTGGGCCTGGCAGTTGGATCTCCAAAGATGTGGGCACCGAGCAAGTCCTGCTGGATGTTTATCTTCCATTCGCCTCTTCTGGCTGGGTCAGATACTGTGGGTCTTTGCAGAACAAGATGACCGCTGCAGGGGCCTTGTGACAGGCTGGGCAGGTAATACTTACTGTGTGACCCCGTATGATAATGTGGTGTAAGAGCTGCTGAGGATGGAGGGTGGTGGTCTACCCCACATCACGGTGCAGTGGGACCTTGGTGCCAGCACCCGATAGTGAGCACGGAGCTGTCTTCCTGTGGTTTCTCTTATCTGGGTCGTTGGCCCTGAGCATGAACTGCCTGAGAGAAAACCATTTCTTATTTTTTTTTAAGATTTTATGTATTTATTTTTAGAGAGGGGAGGGAGGGAGGGAGTGGGGGAGAGAGAGAGAGAGAGAGAGAGAGAGAGAGAGAGAGAGAGAGAAACATCAGTGTGTGGTTGCTGGGGGCCGTGGCCTGCAACCCAGGAGTGTACCCTGACTGGGAATCGAACCTGCAACACTTTGGTTCTCAGCCCGCGCTCAATCCACTGAGCTACGCCAGCCAGGGCACCATTTCTTATTAAAACAGCAGGCTTTTAAGAAGCCTCTCCTTTATTGCTCTTTCTGTTCTGGTGCTATCCAGTTAGGCGTGCATACACCGGGAGCCTGGGCCGGGTTAGTTGGGACCTTCTCAGGGATGTCGCTGGGGAGAAGATGGCGCTAGAGACTGAGTGCTTGCATTTCTCCTCTGCTTCCCAGGTCAGCCTTGGGTTGGAGACTGCTGAAGGAAGCCCCAAGGCCATGGATCAGTGACCCTCAGGATGACTTGGGACCTGGGTTTCCTTTTATTTCTCGCCAAGGTGAGTTAATACCAAAGGTGGGGAGCCCAGAGCTGGAGGGTGAGCTGGTTTGTGTTTATGCAGCTGGGAGCTCTGAACCTTAGAACTCACCTGACCTTCCTTTCAGATTCTCATGGTGATGGTTGTGGACGCCCGAGGGACAGAGTGTCAAGGGCAAGATTCCCACATGAAGCCTCCCCACGGCGCCTCCCCAGTGCCTGCTCAGAGCGTCGCGTGACAACCGGTCCCTCTGCACGAGAGACCCCGGAGGGAAAGCCTGGGGTCCACCTCAGCTGGTTCTGCATCTTGACAGTGGCACCCATAGAGGGCCCGCCTCGTGTCCCTTGCATGGTATGACCTCAGTAACCACCCCTTTAATAAATCTTACAAACTTGCTCTGTCTGCCTTTTAATTCAGCGCCAAGCCATGTGCCAGCAAGACTGGGCCTGGAGGAAGTGGGTCACAGGCCAGACCCTGTTTCCAGTTCTCCCGTGTGTCTTACCACGCCCCTGAGGCTCGGCACGTGGGCTTCTGTTTGAGGCGTTCAGTGAGGGGTGGGGGGTGAACAAGTGAAGGTAGTCGGTTCAGACTTAGGACCCAGGAGAGCTGAGGGTGCTGAGGAGCAGTCAAGTCAAGGCTTTGGGAGGGTGGCTGGTGACAGGGTGCTGATGGCGTCAAGAAAGTGGGGGTGGCCCTCAGTGCTGACACCTGGCTCATAAATAATTGCCTGCTTGTGGGACCAGCTGTCCTGGGTTGCCTGGGCCTGAGGGGTATCCCAGGATGGGGGGACTTGCATTACTAACAGCTGGTTGGTCACAGGCGAAGTGGGGTGAGTTAGTCAGCTTATCCGGGGTATGAAATGCGCCGTGTCGTCGTGAGAGGGCCGGTTGCTGTGTAAACGTGGAGTGGCTGTCCTGAACCTTAGGGTGTCCTCAGGGTCAGGCTTTGTGGAGATCGGTGGGTGAAAATCAGTAGCTGCCACAGTGTAGGGATGCGCAGGCGTGAACTTTTTAATCCCATTTTACAAGTAGAGGGGTCTGGTGAAAGGCTGGAGTTGAATGTCCGATTTCCGAGTTTGAAATTGAAACCACGTTGGCGGGGCTGAGGCAGAACTCAGGCTGTGGAGCCTGTCTGCGTCTGACACTCTGGCGGCCTCCCCCATGGGGGCGGGCGTTCCTCCTGGCTGGCGGGCTCCACTCTGCCCCCAGCTCCTGGCCAGGCGTCCAGAAGTTCACAGTTCTTTGTCTGCCTTGCCCGTTCAAGACACACTCAAGGACCATCCTCTGACTTCTGTTTGCTACCCTTATTTTTATTTTTTTTAAAGATCTTACTTATTTTTAGAGAGAGGGGAAGGGAGGGAGAGAAGCATCAGTATGAGAGCGAAACATCGATCAAGTTGCTTCTCATAAGCACCCCGGCCACCGACCAAACCTGCAGCCCAGGCATGTGCCCGGCCTGGGAATAGAACTGGTGGCCTTTCTGCTTTGTGGAATGCCGTTTTGCAGGACGACGCCCAACCAACTGAGCCACAGTGGCCAGGGCCCACCTGCCACCTATAGTTTGGTGTCACAGCTGCCTGAAAGGATGCCAAGAGAAGGAATCTTAAAAGTTGTGACTGGCTCTGGCCGGGTGACTTGGTTGGATTGTCATCCCTTGCACCAAGGGGTTGCTGGTTCGACCTCCAGTCAGGGCACATGCCTGGGGCTCTGGGCCTGTCCCTGGTTGGGGCGCATGCGAGGGGCAATGGATCGATGTATTGATGACTGTCTCCCTCTCTTTTCCTTCCCCACTAAGAATGAGTAAATAAAATCTTAAAGAAAAAAGACAAGGCTTTGAACTCACTTCCGACTCCTACTCCCTTAACTGGGATATCAAATGACATGTACAACTTAGATGTTACACGTTTTCATCTTCATCAGGATGCTCTGGGCTGGGTGGGACAGCTGCTAAGGGAACATGGAGGGGTGTGAGGAGGAGGAGGAAGGTGGGGCAGGGTACCCCGTGGTCAGGTGTGTCTTCAGGTGCCTTAGGCTCCCTGGTGACTAGTGGCCACGGGGACGGGGTGCTCATGGTGCTACTGGACAGGCAGTGGCCCGGAGCAGGCCTGCCTCAGGCTGGCCTGTAGCATGTGGGTCCTTGACTCCGTGTAGGAAGGATTTCACAACACAAATCCAGGCAACTGAGAATGCATTTATGAAGGCTGGGGAACAGCGAGACAAAGGAAGGACGTAGGGTGGACAAAGGGACAGGAGAGAGTCTAGGCGGTATTTTGCCGTTAGCTCACATAGAAGTCAGAGAAAAGGGGGCCCTGGAGACAGGACCAGGGGCAAAGTCCAGGTGAAGCTGACTGCTGCACACTGTTCTGGTTGCAAGTCTCCTTGGGACCCTTAGGATTTAGGAGGAAGTAAAGTCCATGTCCAAGAAGGGGCACAGGTGTGCTCTAGGCCAGGGGTCCCCAACCTCCGGGCCTTGGACGGGTACCGGTCCAGGCCTGTTAGGACCTGGGCCGCACAGTGGAAGGTGAGCTTGAAGGTAATGTGCTTGAATCATCTGGAAACCATGCCCACTCCCACCCCCGTCTGTGGAAAAACTCTCTTCCACGGAACCGATCCCTGGTGCCAAAACACTGGGGGCCACTGTCCAGAGTGAGTCCTGCACTGCAGCTTTGTTCCGAGGGCTTTCTGTCTTTCTGTCTGCGGGTGAGAATCTTAGGGGACAGTTTCAGCAAAACCTTCATTAGTTTTCCAGTTGCATTTTAATACACTGATACATCAAAATGAGCACATAGGGGGTTTGGGGAATACTCTTTGGTCTGTTTTTCTTTTATCTGGGGCCTGTCCGGGTTTTAATGGTGTTTTCATTGTTTGCTTCCCTGACTTAAATTTGTCCTTGAGCTTAGCTGGTGCAAATGACATTAATTGGGTCTTTATTCTTTATTTTCCCAGGCCAGGGAGATTTAAGCTATGTGTTCTGTGTATCCTCTGGTCAGGGAGGAGGAGTACAAGACATTCACTCTCAGCTGTCCTTGGGTAGGGAAGAAAGGTTCTCGAAGTTCAGCTGGCTGTGAGTTGCTCCAACTGTTTGGCCTTGTTTGATTATCTTGTCTCAGTGTCCCCATTCCACTCACCCAGGACTTTTCCTAGCTTCTTACTATCCTGCCTCAAGGGGAGAGGAAAGGGGACGGTCACAGTTCCTGCGGCCCCCCGGGGCGGCAGGGGAAGCCCCGCTGTGGTGTCGTGAACACCTCCATCACAGGCACTCCTCCGTCTTCAACCTATTCCATGTTGGCCCCCACGAACAAGAAGTTCTGGAGAGAGGGCAAAAAGGGCAGACAGGAACGGTCATTACCCCAGCTGCACAGGAGCTTCCGGAAAGGGAAACGTGTAGGGAGAGGCAAGTTCTCAAATGATGAAAACAAGGTCAGTGCAAAAACCAAGCCCTAGACTTTTATAAAAGGAGGCCTTTATAGAACCCTGCTCTTATCAGCTGTCTTTCCACCCCCCTGGGGGGGGTGTGTTATTTGCATATCCTCATCTCCTAAGCTCCTGGTTTCTGGAAGACATCCATGAACTGCTTCCCCCACAATGTTTTTCTCCCAGGAGAACGATGCACATTTGGGTGTTGCTTGAGTGGACTCCCCTCACGTAATTTCTGAAATGCAGCCCAGGGTCGCCTTGCAGTAAGAACATAGGAACAGCAAAGACGTTGCGAACTAGTACTTCCGGATTTACATCATAAAGTGTAGTGTGGTTGTCCTATCCCCCTGCCCCTGGTAAGTTTCTGCCAATAGCAGGCCTGGTCAGTTTTTCCCCAGGACCATCCCTGGCTACTGTGCGTGGGAAGGCCGATCAGTGGCTGCGTGGGGACTCTTAACACCATCAAGGACATTCAGGGCTTCTTCAAGTGGCCCCTCTTCAACCCAGAAGCGTTGCAGCTCATCTGACCTCTTCGTACATTCTGCCATGTGCGGCTAACAGGCCTTGTAGAAGTTCACTTAACATACTGGACCTGAACTACTAAGAACTGAGCTACTTGACATGAAGCCCAGATTTCAGATCCTCAAAACCCGCTGTTGATATACCAGAATGGAAAACATTGTTTCCTGTGAAAAGGAGGTCTAGGGTGTCAGTGGGAGTTAAGGGCACCCTCTAGTGTCCACCGACCCTGAAGCACCCCACCCAGGACCCACTGCTCACTGACCTCGTGGATCTGGAGCTGCAAGTCGCTGAGGTAGGTGTCCCTTGGCAGAGGAAGTGGGAAGCCCTCCTCAAGCTTTGCTGGAAGATAAATGGCAGAGAGGTGGGCTGGACAGACAACACTGAGGGGGTGTGAAGACACAGAACATTGCATTTGCAACTAGCCAATGAGAATGGGCTGAGACACATGGTAGGCTATTGGATGCAGGGCTGTTTTGGGGTGGGGGGCAGTGAGCACAGGCAAACACTTGGGAAATGCAGCCTCTTTAGGAGTTGACAGTCTTTTGGGTTTCTACTAGTCCCTTCGAGAACCTTCCCCCAGTCACCACCCAAGGGGCAGGGCTGGGCCACACAGTGTCTAGAGACAGGGACTCATCCCTGAGGACACCATCTCCCCCACCGACTCTTTTCCCCAGGCCAGTTTTGCTGCTCTTGTCCCTTAGTTGTAAAAGGCAGATGGTGAGGCCAGTTGGAGAGGGCCCTGTTCTGGGAGGAGGCCTGCTGGCTTCTCAGGCAGCCACTGTCCCAACAACTACTTCCATCCCTGTCACCCAGCAAGTCAGTGACCTAACCCGGCTCAGGACCCAGGCCTGTTAACTCCAGGTGTTCTCTGTGTGCCGCCTGACACTTCTCCCTGGGCCTTACTCCTCGTACCTTGGGACTCAACTTAGCCCTCGCCTCCGGGACTGACTTCTAAGTTCATGTTCTGTGCCTTCTAGCTCCTGCAGCCCCCTTCGCTTCCTCCCATTGTGGCATTTATCAGACTTAATGTATGCCTTCCCAACAAAGTGAGAACTCCATGAGGGCAAGGCTCATAGATTGCCCATACCCCAGCCAGCTTGGAAGATAGGCTCAGCTTGTTGAGTGAGTGAACTGTAAATCTGACAGCCAGGGTGGAATTCATCTTTTGTGTGTGGCAGTCAGTAGCAGCTCCGCTTACCATTGAGAGAGGGGTATATGATGTGGGTTGCATAGTAATTCAAGACAGATTCCATCAACTGCACCTGGAGCAGAGGAGGGGCCAGAGCAAAAGGATCAAACAAGACACAAATGAAAACGAGTCCAAGGACACTGGCTGGTGTGGCTCAGTGGATTGAGCACAGGCCTGTGCATCAAAGGGTCACCAGTTTGATTCCTAGTCAGGACACATGCCTGGGTTGCAGGCCAGGTTTCCAGTAGGGAGTGTGTGACAGGCAATCACACATGAATGTTTCTCTCCCTTTCCCCCTCCCTTCCCCTCTCTCTAAAAATAAATAAATAAATAAGTAAAATCTTAAAAACATAATTTCAAAAAAGAAATACGGAGAGAAAACAACTCACATAGAAGAAATTGATGTTGGAGTGTATCAGTTCCAATTTCAGCTTGCTGTGTGGAGAAGAGAGAGGCGTGGTCACCCTGGCCACAGCTGTGCTTTCCCACACCCCAGGGGGGTGCGCAGCCTCTACCGGCACAAGCCTGTCAGGGGCTAAGCACCAAGGGTTCCTCTGCAACCAAAGGCTTTAAGCATGCCCTGTGTCTTAAGAGGTGACATTAAAAAAATAGTGCTATCTGAGCATATTTGATAAGTTGGAAGGAAGTATGATGACAAATATTAATGGGAGAAAGTAGAATATAAAAAGTAATGCACTGTATGTTTCCTGCCACATATAAATGGATGAAAAAAGACTGGAAGGAAACATGAAATTATTAAGAGTGATAGTCTGCATGGGGCAAGGTTAGGGCTGATTTTTGCTTATACCTTAGTAATTCTCTTTTCTTTTTTTCTCACCATGAGCATGGATTATTTGTAACATGTGGGAGTAGACAATAAAACTGGAAAAGAGAGGCACTCCTAATGATAATGGCAGGCAGCTGGCAGCCACTGGGGGGACTCGGCTCCTGGATCCCTGTCACTGTGGAAGCTGAACCCCAGTTCCCCCACTGATCCCTCTCCTAACAATCTTTCCTTTGATCCACCCTGGTTCCCTTGTTCAAGAATCCTCATGACCCCTACAGCTGTCTGCTTTCTGCTCACGGGGCAGAGTTATTTTAATAATTCCTTAGCAAATTTTGGGGTGAGATCCTTTACTCTGCTGCCTCCTTCCTCATAGCCTAAGCTCATGGCTGTGCCCCCCATACTGCAGAGACCCCCTAAAGCCAGGTCTATGCATACACTCACATTCGGGACCTCTCAAAGCCCCAAACGCTCATCATTAGCTCCTCTATGTAAAGACTGCTTATGAAGACATTTATTTCAGTGGGGTCAGGGCGCTCTATCAGCCAACAGGCATCCAACCCCGAGGCCAGGGTTTCATTCCTCTGATGCACGCATTGGACCTGCACCTCAGCAGGGAGCAGCGCCTGGAGTGGGTGAGCTGAGGGGCACGTGTGGGGACTGTGCACAGAGGTCACCACTAGCCAAAGTACCAGCCCCAGGGGCCTGTCCAAAGCCTGAACTCTCCACTGATTCCTTGGTTGAATAAATACTTGCCCACCACGGATTGGGTATCTGGGCAATGGGACAGTCAGCAGTTGCCTGGGGGCATCTTTAACACTCCATCCAAAATCTCCACTTTCTGATGTGTAATATTGACAGTTTTTCCCAATATTGTATGTAAAGTCCTTGCAAACACCTTCTCCAGTTGGACTGTCACTCTGAAGTACCCTCTTTGCAGAAGTTTCAGCTCCTCCACTCATGCCTCAGAGGGGGAAGTGAGGAGCCCATAGTGATAGGGAACCTGAAGGCACCTGACAACTTTCCTTGACTTCTGGCTTTTCCCCTGAGGCACTGTCAACATGCCTTTTCCAGAGAGGGGCACTGGAATAGAGACGGAGCCCACCCCAGTGGAGACCTCTGTTTGTCGGGGGCAGCTCCAGCCCTATCAGTGAACCAGACTAGATGCTCTGACCTCTCGCCCACCCCTCTTCTCCCCTACCCATGGCCTGTTACCTTCCTGGGGTCACTGAGCCCTGGATCCTGTTGGAGCTGACCCTGATGGTGGCAAAGATGTTGGTTCTCTGGAAAAGCAAAGGATAACATCCAGATTCTCAGGCTACATAGGCATGCTGTCAGTTCCTAGCCCAGGAGACAAATCTCCAGAAATAGAAACCACAAGACCAAAGGTAGCTACTCAAGCATGATGGACTGAGGATGCAGGATGATGGTGCCTCCACAGCTGCCTTGACTCTAAGACAGGTGAGCTGAGATTTCAGAGGTCTCCATCTTTTTTTTTATTTGATTGATTTTAGAGAGACACTGATTTTTTTTGTTTCACTTATTTAGGCATTCATTAGTTGCTTCTTGTATGTGCCCTGACCAGGGATCAAACCTGCAACCTTGGTGTTATTGGGACAACGCTCAGACCAACTGAGCTACCCTGCCAGAGCAGAGGTCTCCATCTTAATGGAAGAATCAAGAAGGGAGAATAAACCCAAATTAAAACCTCAGAGAATTCAAATTGGGAGACCGTTTGCCTATGAGCACAGCTGAGCTTTAGAACAGACTAGGGGAAGCTCAGAGAGTCCCTAAGCCCTTTCCTTATACACGATTCACAAATGTTTCCCCCCGTTCCGTAAGCTGCCTTCTTATTTTCTTGAATGGTGGTGTCCTTTGAAGTACAAAAGTTTTTATTCTGATGAACTTCAGTGTACCTATTTTTCATTTTGTTGCTTGTGTGTTTGAGTTGATCTGAGACAGCTCTGCCTCACTGAAGATCATGAAATTTTACTACTGTATTTTTTTTCTGAAAGTTTTGTAATGGTACCTCTCACATTGAGGTCTATGATCTGTTTGGAGTTCATTTTTGTGTACGGTTTAGGAGAAGGAGCTGGTTCCATTGCTGTGGATGTACAGTTGCCCCAGCACCATTTCTTGAAAGTCTATTCTTCTGCATTTAATTGTGTTGGTCCTTTTGTTGAAAATCAATGGGCTATAAACGTGGGGAATTAATTCTGGATTCTCAATTCTATTCCATTGATCTACAGATCTATCCTTGCCCTGGTACCGTACTACCTTGAGTACTATAGCCTGACAGCATGTTCTGAAATAGGAAAGTATGAGTTATGCGACTTTATTTTTCTTTTTCAAGATTGTTTTGGCTATTCTGGGTCTCTTGACTTTATGTATGAATTCTAGGATTAGCTTGTTATCAGGCTAGTTGGGATTTTGACAGGGATTATGTTGAATCTGTAAATCAGTTTAGAGTACTGCTATTCTAAGAGTTCTTTAAAATTTATACCTTCTTTAAAAATATAATTTAATGACTTTCATTTATGACCATTTAAATAGAGTTATGCTTTAAGCAATTTTTTGATGATACACATAAAATCTTTAACTCAGCTGAAGTGAATGACTTTTAAGGTTTCTTACAACTCTGAATAACTGTGCCCTTGGGAAGCCTGGCCAATCAGACCAGAACTGCAAGGCCCACTTATGCCTCCAGTGGAAATAAGTAGCCTCCAGCATCTATCAGCTGGGTAGCCTCCCAGCCTTTTTGCAAGGGGAGGGGCTCACACCCATGCAAGCAGGACCCTTTGCTGCTCCAGCCAGGATCAGACTCACCGCCCTGAGTTGGAAGAGTGGCCTGCGGTCAGAGGACTCGGGCAGGAGGACGAAGGCCTGGATGTTTATCACTGGCACAAGGACCACATTTCCAGGGGTGAACACAAGGAATGGAGCTGATTCAGGTGACACCTCAAGCTCTAGCTCCTTATTAGGGTACAACCTGGACAGCTGGAGGAAGAGGGCAGAGACTCAGGAAAGGGCAGGAGACAACCAGAAGGACCCCAAGCTGTATTCTAATTGAAAGGGCTAGATGGGTAGATTCCCAAAGTTCAAATCTCTAAGGGCCCAAGACCAGCAGCAGTAATGTCACAGGATGGAGGGAATTGCATTTTCCCGAGCTCTTTTCCAAAAGACTGCTGTCGTGGTTGGAAAGGGCGCTCTGATGGAGTGTCTGAGATGGATGGGACGCCCCATCGGGCATATTCCAATAACAGTGCACGGTCACCATACTTCCTTCTATGCTGACCAACTTGGGTTGACTTCTGTGCAAGTTTGGGGCTGAGTTGAATTGCCTGGTTCAAACGAGGGGAGACTGAGTGCTCTTGTTCACTCTGCTGCTGCCCTCTTTCAGCTATGTTCTATATAGACATCGAGCAAATATCAATGAATAGCCTAATCCCAAAGTATCAGCCTGTGTAACATTTGTGCCCTGGAAAGACCCTGTATATTTGCACTGGCTGAGTGCTTTTGTCCCCCAGGGATCCAACAACTCAGGGTGCAGGTACAATCATCATCCCCATTTGAGAAAGGAGGACCCTGAGGTCCAACAAGATTGAGTTCCGAAGACAGAAAGCAGCAGATCCAAGATTCAAACACTGGCATTCTGAATGTAGATCCTCCGTCTGTATGCCACAAGGAATCAGAGAATGATTCTCAGAGAATCAGAGAATGCTGGGAATTTTGTACAAAAAAACCCCAAAAAACTTTGATTTTTTTTTAAACATTCTTTTTTTAAAAATTTTTAAAAATGTTTTATTTTTAGAGAGGGAAGGGAGGGAGATAGAGAAACATCCATGTGCGGTTGCTGGGGGTCATGGCCTGCAACCCAGGAACGTACCCTGGCTGGGAATGGAACCTGGGACACTTTGGTTCCCAGCCTGCACTCAATCCACTGAGCTATGCCAGCCAGGGCATAACTTCGATCTTTACTCACTCTTCTAATAGGTAAGCTGTTTGTCTGGAGAAAGTCTGTGCGTAGCTCAAATACAGTCCCCACGTTTGGCCTAGGTCCAGGGGCTCACCTTGTCTTCTGCGATGAGTGGGCAGAGGTCTTACCTGAGGAATCACAGCCTCAAACGATTTGGTGTTCAGGTCAATTGGAAAGTCCAGGGGAAGCTGCAGCAGGTGACCCAGGAAGTTGCTTGAGAAGCAGGAAATCGTGGCGGTGAATGGTATGTCCTGGCAGCTGGACTTCCACCATTCTTTGGCTGAGTGGTTGTCAACGAACTGTATTAGGTTCTGTATCTGTAAAATGGGGATGAGAACAGCACGCGCTGTACGGGGTGTGCAAGGATGAAGTCAGATAGTATGTGGATAAAGCACCTAGTGCGGTGCCTGGAACACACTAGGTACTTACAGGTCTGTCATCATTTGCTATTTCCAGCATGCCCCCCTCGAGGGCCAGGGAGGGCTGACCGCCACCACAATCTGGACTTAGTGTGCTTCCAGATACAGACCCTAGGTGCCCTTCTCTACTCACCCCATGACTTGCTGATCTTTCAGCGTGAGGAGCCCTGCCTACACCTGTCCATAGCTCTGCTGGTCCCTCTCCTTGCAGGATCCCCACTGTTTACCTGGGCAGCTCCTATAGAACTTACCACGGTGTAGGTTCTGGAGGTGCTCTGTTCAGACCTCCCTCCAAGGGGATCAGCAGAGAGGAGGGCCGCTGGTAGCCTTCCTCCCCCCCATCGCCACACTGCCTCACATGCAGGTCCCACATCATTTGAGCTCAGGCCACACTCTCCCAGACAGCTCCCAGCCCCTGCTGAGCACGGCTTGGGTGGCAGAGCTGGGGAATTTTCTCAGATCACTGCCAGGATTCGGTGGGTGGGGGGTAGTATCAGCAAGAGACTACACAGAAAAGGGTACCCCCCCACCCCACCTTCCATTTTCCCTGTGGCATTCGAGGGTCAGGTACACCAGTGCAGAGGGGCAGGGGCTGGGAGCCAAGGGAGAGCTGAACAGAAAAGCTCCTGCTGTCTTGTGGCCCCGGGGGAAGAGGTGGAGGTGAGGGGAAGGGCCAGGAGCAGATACCGAGTACTGAGACTGGAAAAAACAGTCTTCGAGACCTCCAGAAAGGGGTCTCCGCAGAGGCACCTGAACAGTGTCTCGGCTGAGGTTCCCCCTCGTCTCCCATCCACAAGGAGACCTCCGAATAGAGGTGTCCAGGCGAGGAGTGCCGATACGCCTGTCCACAGTGGGGGTGGGGTAAGGGCAGGGCCCGAGTCCTTGGCTGCTGCAGCTCCTTCTAGAGACTGACAAACACCGGCCCTGCTCCAGGCCTGGTCTGGCGAGAGAGCCAGGGAAAGCCTGTGTAATTGCCTACAGTCAGGTCTGGAAGATCGTGCAGAGGACTTCAGCCTTGTGTGTGTGGCCCTCTTCTAGGAAGCGAGCTTGGCCATTGCCCCCGCCAGCTTGGCTGAGACTCCTCAGAGCTACACGGTAGCATTCACCCGACCTGCCCGCCTGCCCCCGCCCTTCACAGGTGTCTGTCCTGCATCGCAGTCTGAGGCCTCTCCCACCCGCTGCTCCTTCTCGTCTTTGTCCTTCACGGGCATTTCCCTAGTAAAACCCCTCTAAGTCGAATGCTGCCTTGGCATCTGCTGCTTGGAGGACTGTGAGAAGAAAATATCAGACCAGAGTCTGTCTGATGTTTTAAAGTATTGCTAAGCATAGCTGATACTATTATGTGTCAGACACCAAGTGCTGTACGATTTCTCATAGAACCCCTGGTGTCCATGTGTACCGACAGGGAAACTGAGGCGCAGCCTGGCCTTGAACTCATGTTGGGCAGGCTCCAAATTCTACATTCTTCTCCTAGCTCCTTAGGGCTCCCCCTGTGGGTCTACGATCCTACTTGATGCTCTCTCCTGGTAACCCCTTACTCACGTGCTCATTTCGGATGGTGAAGTTCATGTGCCCGGCCTGGTGGTAAACCCAGCTGGCTGTGTCGAAGACATATTCGGAGACTGCAAAGTAGATCATGAGGTCATGCTCTTGGGGAAGCTCGATGGGCGGAGCATTAAAGGGGACCGTGGAGTGCGTGCTGTGACCAAAGAATTGACCCTGGAGACAGAAGGACATATCAGTCACCCAAGGTCCCTGCCCGTGAGGGCGTCAGGCGGAGGCATCCAGAGCCTGCCTGGGGGAGGCCTCCTTGTCCGAGGTGGTGGCCAGGGCAGCGGTTCCTCTGCAGAATGCGGGGTCGGGCATCCTGAAAGATTCCTTCTGGCCCTTCAATATCTAGGTCCTGACAGCTGCCTGGAATCCCTCTCCAGTGGGGAGGCGAGTCCTGTGTTCTCCCAGGCTCGGGACGCAGGACAGGAAGCACAGTCGGTGGTGAAGAGCAGGGACTCTGGAGCTTAACCGAATGGGTTTGAACCCTGGTCTGCCTCCTCCTAGCTCTGCAGCCCCAGGCAGGTCACCAACTGCCCTCCTGCCTCAGCTTCCCCACCTGTACGATGGGGATGATGCTAACAGTTCCTGCTTCACAGAGGTAGGATGAAGGTTGAAGATGTGAATCTTGAACAGTTTCTGCGACATAGTAAGAAGCATATGTGTTAGTTCCACAAATAAAATGGGGAGCGGTGGCCCTCCAGGGCCTGGCTCAACCCACCGGGGAGCCGTGGCAGAGACAGGAATGAAGAGGGTGCGTCACTCGTGTCCTATTGCTGTTGTGACAAAATTACCTCCACCTCCGGAGCTGGAAACTACACAGATTTGTTCCCTTACATTTCTGGGGGTCAGAAGCCAAAGGTCAAGATGTGAAGGCTGGGCTCCCTCTAGAGGCTTCAAGGGAGAATGTGCTTCCTTGTCTTGTCTTCCTTCCAGAAGCCCCTACATTCTTCCGCCTGCGGTTCCCTCCCTCACAGCACCTCTCGCTTCACTCCAGCTTCCCACTTCCATTGTCACCTTGCCTTCTGTCCCTTACCTCCTACCTCCCTTCTCTAAGGACCCCCGTGATTACAATGGGCCCGGAATAATCTTGTCGTCAATATCCTTAATTTAATCACAGCTGCAAAATCCCGTTTGTTATGCAAAGTGACATATACAGATTTTGAGGATTAGGACGGGGACCTATTAGAGAGCCACTCCTCGGTCTGCTGTTGGTGAGGGCAGATAGTATTAGCAATGCTACCCTATAGGTGTGCTGTGTGCCAGGCACTTCATGCACGTCTCACTTAATTCCTATAGCAGGTGTATGAGCTAAGGTCTTTATTATTCTAATTTAATAGAGGCTCAGAGAGGTGAAGTAATATCTCCATAACGTTGAACAGCATCTGCAGCATCCCTTAATGCCTCTGCCTCCAAGGTTCTCCACCACATATGTCATAGAGCCCAGGTTCAAGGTCAGGTCTTCTGGACTCCAGACAGATTTACCATGTTAGTTCAGAGACCTTGTTTTAAGTTTTGCCCTGCAGTGCTGAGTACCGCTCTGCCCACCGTGGGCCCTGGTCCCGGATGTGGATGGAGAGGCAGGTGAAGTGGAGAGGGAGGGCAGGTGCTGAGGCGGGTGGGAGGGGGAGCTGCTTTCCCGCCAGGTCTCAGCTCCAAGGCCCTTTTTCCACAGCCCCTTACCTTGAAGGGTATGTCCAGGCCTTGGGAGGTCACCTGCGGAGCTCCCACTAAACGGTAGTCAATGAAAGCAACCTGGTCCATCTCCAAGATGACTGTGGAATGGGAAAGAGGCAGCATTGCGAACAGGTCAGTGAAACACAGTTGTGGAAGTTGCCCACAGCACAGCCCCAGGGAGGTCCTTTCTCATGGACTGTAGCCTCTGGAGAGTGGAGATGGGCTGGGGCATATCCATGATACCTTCAGTCACAGAGAGAGTACTCCTTTCATTCATTCACTGACTCATTCACTCATTCAGTATTTACTGAGCACCTGCTGTATGCCAGGCGCTATGCAAGGGCTGATGAAACAGCTGAGTGAGACAGTCTAAGTTTCTGTCCTCGTGGAACTCACAAGGCCAGGGGAGGAAATAATCAGATATTCAAGGAAATACATGTACCATTGCAAGTATATTAGATGTTAGGTAGCCGAAGTCCATAGGAGGATGCCAGCCATCTAGTAGGGAGTAAAGTGGGAGGTGGCAACCTGACTTGGACAGGGAGTCGGGGAAGACCTCCCAGAAGAGGTGTTGCTTTGGCTGAGCTGTGCGGGAAGAGCAGGTGTGGGCTGAGTGAAGGGGGATAAATGGGGAGGGAGGAAGGACACTGGCAGGGGGAATGACGTGTGCAAAGACCTCGTAATGTTCGAGAGCACTGTGTACTAGAGGGACTGCAAGGGAGCAGAGAGGCTGGCTGAGCTGGGGAGGGGAGCGAGACAAAGCTGGAGTTGGGCAGTGTGGCCGGGCCAGACCACGCGAGGCCTGGACTCCCGCAGCTAGGCTCAGCATTCTGTGAGTCAGAGGGCTCTTTGATAGGCTTTAGAAGAGGCAGAGACCTGACTTGGTGTGTGACTATAAAAGGTCCCTGTGGCAGCCAGGCGTGCAGTGCCCGGAGGGCCCCCAGCCCTGCCTGCTCAGGGAGCTCGGAGCGCCCCTGTTTTGTAAAAGCAACTGGTACAGAGCCAACACGTGATTCTCCCACATATTCCTAATTTTCTGCCCACCTCATGCTCCCAGCAGGTTTCCCAGTCACTGCCCTCGATCACCTGACAGAGCAGAGTGCACCCGTCCCCTGCCCCCGCCACCCTGAACAAGATGGTTGCCCCACGTCTAATTCTGTAAGGACAGTTACTCAATGGGGAAAATTCTCCCAGGGCTCTTTGTGGGGGTGGTGCTTCCCGTAGTGCTGGGTGCCGTGGCACCTGATGGCACCCAGAGATGAGTGAGTTGGGGCGGGGGTGGGGGGGCGCTCCCAACCTGGCAGAGTCCGGAGATGGGGCTTCAGGTGTGAGGTTGCTAACTGCATGACCATTTCGCAGATCTGCCAAAGGTGGGTGAGAAAGCCAGGTGAGTTCTTCCTCCCACCCTCCCCTGCCACCACACCAGGAACCCTGCATTAGGTCCCCACCTTGGGTAAGTGTGTGAGGGGAGGGACAGTACAGTGAAAAGGGAGAAGAGACCACTACCCCTGTCCACACTTGGTCATTGTCCCATTTGGGCCAGCCTCTCACACAGGTGACCCAACTCAAAGTTCCTGGACTTTTCTGGAACCCACGTTAAAAGTGGGTGGTGGTCAAGTCAGCACTGCTGTAGTGTCTGCTAACTGTCATGGCCCTCTTGGGGCTACGTGGCAAGAAGTGCAGTACCTAAATGCCTATGTTACAGAGCAGAGGGGCAAAGCGGAAGAGCTTCTAGGTGCAAGGGGAAGCTCTTGAGTCAGAGGCTCCACCACCGCCTTCCCCAGGCCCTTTGCTTCCTTTTTCTGCTGAGGTTTCTGGCCAGCAGCGAATCCTCAAAGGACCACGGTGCTTGGTCTGTAGGCAGTACTAACTATGGCCAGCAGAGGGCTCCAAAGCAAAGCCAAAAGGCAGGTTCTCCAATCCACTGCTTTGTAAACCAAGAAGACAGCTTGAAAGAGCCCAGACGCTTTTAGTCTTGTGACTTCCTAACTTCAGCTATTCCAGCACCATCTCTGATGCTCCAGGGGGTGCCTCAATTTGCCCAAAGATACACGAAGGGTAAATGTAAGAGGTACCTCTTTGCCTTCAAGACCAAGGCTTTTTCCAGAGTTGGGAGATACTGAGGGCCGACCTCAGTACTGTTCTCAATACGATGCATTTTTGGGCAGAGGGGTCTTATTTAAGAAACATTTTCCTGTCCTTAAGATGAGAAAGATATTGTAGGTTTTCCCCTAAAAACCTATAGATTTGTTTTGGATTTAAGTCCTTTGGATTTAAATCAACCCCCACTGGGGGTTGATTTTTGTGTGTAGTGTGAGGGAGAGATCCCAAAGTCACTTCCCTGTATCTTTCCAACATTACCTACACCCAGATAGCAAACACTTTGCCAGTTTCAAATGCCAATTTCATGTATGTGACCGCACACACGGGGGAAGCCTTGGGGTTTGCCTTTGCACAGCAAATGAGGAAGGTTTTGCTAAGCAGATTCAAATGGCAACCTACTTCAGAGACAAGGCTGTTTCCAAATACCAAATATACACCTGCCAATGATCCTTAACTGCAGATCTGCTTATCTTTTGTTTACCTTGTCCTTCACGATATTTTTCAAGCTATTTCCAATTATTTCATGGAAGAGGTTCAGGAGCCAGCTGGAGAAAAGAAGGAAGGGGGTCAGGATCCAGCTGATGACTAGCTGAGGCTCCCAAGAGGAGGGCTACCCATGGACTTGAACTTTCTCGTGTTATCCCAAGAAGGGACACGGCCAGGTGAATTTAATCCAAGGGTAACCCTTAGGTACTGGGTTGCCCTCACTCTTCAGATGGGCAAAAAGCTAAATCTTTGCTCATATGCTGTGTTGGCAATAGTGGGAAGAAATAGACACTTTTATACCTGGCTGGTGGCAGTGGAAACCGGCAAACCCCAGGGAGGGTAATTTGTTAGTACATATTAAAATGAAAAAATGCACATCCCACTTTAAGAATTTATCCTATAATTTATTTCAAAATGATATGATGCACAAAGTCACTTTTGTAGCATTGTTTGTGATAGCAAAAGAGTGAAAAAGAAAACCTCAAGCTAAAAAACAAGTGCCAGTAGAGGACTAATGATCACATTTTAGTGTCTTCATATAATGGAGTATTTTGAAAATGAAGCTCTTGTGTTCAGGTGTGGAAAGGCTTTCAAAGGCTTTGTTCAGTGAGACAAGCTAGGGATGCAATGCGGTTATAGCGTGCTATCACTTCTGTCCAAATAGAAGTGTGCAGTGGTTAACTGTTCAGGCGTAGACGCTCAGGAATGAGACATTAGACATTGTTAATATCGGTTGCTCTGGCAAGGACAGCTGGTTGGTGAGGCGACCAGAGTGGAGAAATACTTTTTCATTCTGTACCCATTGCGCTTTTTGAATTTGGAACTATGCAAATGAATCGCCTATTCAAAAACATTTACATTTTTTAAGGTACAATAAGGAGAGTAAGACCTATTCTTTGTATCCTGCAAAGTCCACCAAACAACTTCTGGATGTTTAGGTACTAGTCATTCACTCACTCATTCATTCAACAAACACGTACTGAGCCCCTCCTACCCGCTAAGCTCGAGCAAGGTGTTGAGGGACATTGCTGAATAGACTCCTGGAGCTCAGGCTGGGAGTCTAACCCACTTCCAGTAAAGCTGCCCACTGACAGCCCCTCCCAACCATAGACCCCAGAAGAGAGCTTCTCACACTATGTTCTCACCCGGGAGTGGGGGTGAGAGGTTGTGGGAAATAAGTGAACTACGTTAGTGGAATTACTTCCGGTAAAGTTTTTTCTCCCATGAAGTTTTCTTTACCATTTGATGGTTGCTGATTGGATGACTGGTGGTACGTATTGAAATGTATGTGTATTATAAACTGATGTGCTAACAGCAGACACAAGTGCTTCCTGGGATTCTGCAGAAAGCATCCTGGGGGCTGACATCTACAGATTCTTCTCTCAAGCCTTCTTGCTCTCTGGCTTCTGGTTGTTTTGGCCAACGAGAGGCTCAGGTAAGAAGAGAGAGGAGCTGGGGTATTTATACCCGTGTCCCTCCCTGCCCGCTGAACCACTATGCTCCTGTTCCAGGGCTCTTCTCCAAGGTTCCAGATCTTTCTAGGCTCTGGCAACACCCTTCTCTTCCTCTCACCTTCAGCCCTAGGGGTGGTACTAGCTCCCTGCTGTTGCTAGTCTCCCTAGAATATTCTCTTCATTAGATTTGTGTCACTGAAGCCTTCTAAATTGCCCTCTGTTGCCTGCCAGGGTCTGAGGGATGCAGTGCCAACCAAAGCAGTCGCCAGGGAGACTGCCATCATTCATTTGAAATTCACTGAGCATTAGCTCCAGGCAAGTCACTTTGGGAAACCATTAGAGGCAGTCTTGCCCAGGGGTGAGCAAACGATTTCTTAAAGGACCAGATAGTAAATATTTTGGGTATTGCATGCTATGTGGTCTCTGTTGCAACTTCTCAGTTCTGCTGATGCTGTGCTAAAATAGCCCTAGACAATTGTAAACAAATTAGTGTGGCTATGCTCCAATGAAACTTTATTTACAGAAACAGGTGGCTTACTGGATTGGGCCCAGAGGCTTTAGTTCACTGATCTCTGATCTTAATGAGGCTTAACTCTTGCCCTTCCGGCCCATCAGGGACATCCCCTAGGTGAGCTGGAGGCTGAGGCAGTTCTGACAACTTCCAGCAAGTGTGTGGGGTGACTTACCTTAGGCTTCCGGAAAGGTCAATGCTGACGTGGCCAATGGAGTTGCTGCAGTGAGACACAGAGGCAGTGGGTCGTCCAGACTGGTCTTTGCCCAACTTCAGAGAAATTGAGATGGAAATGTCATCCACACTCACATCAAAAGTACCCTGTAAGGTGCTGGTTGGGAGAAATGAGAAGCACATGGGGAATAATCAGTCACTTCCAGAGAGAGGAGCCAAGGAGATGGCAGACCCAGGTTAATCTCCCAGTTCCCCTTAACGAGCTGTATATCCTGGCTGAACCATGGTAACCTAAAAATAAAAAGTCCTTCCAAGGCGAGAGGCAACAAGCATTTATTTGAGATCAATAACAATAGCTATTCAGGAAGCATTGATAATGCAAAAGCCCAAATAATGCTTTAACTAGGAGACAGAAGCAACGGGTATTTGTGAGAAAAGGAAGGGGAACAATGACACAGATAGAAGGATGGCATTTCTCCTAGTGAAGTTGTAACAGAGTGATGTTAATTCTAAATAATGTTTTTAATTTTCAGTCTAGGAGTCATCAGTCCGGAAGTCATTATACCTGTTTCTTGTTATCTTTGCAAACAGTTCTTCGAGGCATGAGATTGCGCTAGGCCCAGTGCAAAGGTTCTTTTGCCCTGTTTTCACATTGCAAAAGTTTGAGACACAAGACGTGCCAGGCAGTTTCTCTGGCAGGGCAAGTCTGACTCTGTTTTCAAGTGGCTCCATTTATATTATTCTGACAGCCTCAACTTACCATGAACTAAGACAGCCAGTGTTTCCTGAGTATCTTTATGTGCCAGGCACACTGAAAACACCTCCAATCTATTGTTTAATGTAATCCACAACTGCATTTGAGATAGATCTGGGTCCTTTATAGACCGGACATTTAAGAATCCGGAAATGGAAGTCCAGGGTGGGAGGACTCACCCTTGCCCAGAGCCGAGAGACATTCTAACCCAATTACTTACATGAAATCCTTTTTCACCTTCCAGTTCCCTTGGACAGACACGTAGTTAGTGAACAGGGAGACCTCGATGCCTTGCCCTGGGTATAGACTCAGACTGGAGTCACTGAGTTGGAAGTCTCGGATTTTCAGGCTAGGGGAGGAAGGCGGACTATTAAACCCGGAAAAAATGAGGGGCACCTCAGTCCTCTGAATGAGTCCCCAGAGTTCCCTCCAGACTCTCACACTCTCTTTCAGATTTATTGACTTAAACCACAAAGGACAAACCACAAAGGAAGCTTTCCCCAACCTTCAAGACCAAAGGCCTTCCTATCGTCCATGACACCTGCCCCCATTAGCTGCTCCTGTCTGTCTTGGTCACTCGACCCTCACCACTGACCCTCGCCACGGGGAGGACCCTGTGAGCTGGCTTTGCATTACGTGTCCTGTCCCCACAGATGGCACTGGGCTCTCCCAGGAGGCAGCTTCCCCTCTCTGCTCCCCACGCTTCAAATACAGATCAGGGCTCACAATTTGTGACTGGGATCACCCGCTGGGGTGATCTGTGGGCCATACATATGATTGCTATGCTACTGATAGGCTACTTTCCTATAGTGTTCTTAACATTGGAATCAGTCACCAATATTTTACTCTTTTTTTTTAAAGATTTTATTTATTTATTTTTAGAGAGGGAAGAGAGGGAGATAGAGAGAGAGAGAGAGAAACATCAATGTGCGGTTGCTGGAGGTCATGGCCTGCAACCCAGGCATGTGCCCTGGCTGGGAATTGAACCTGGGACACTTTGGTTCGCAGCCCGCGCTTAATCCACTGAGCTATGCCAGCCAGGGCAGTCACCAACATTTTAAAATGAGGAAATTTCATTGTAAAAATATGAAGGAAGAAAACCCCCCTAGAATTCTGGCTTCTCTTGAAAAAGTCAAAAGACAATGTTTCTATTTCTTTACAGCATCGGTCCCTGCTGCAGGGAGTAGCAGCCACCCCCTAATGCCCAAGGGGGTGGTTTAGGGATATGGGAAGGGGCATTGCCCTCTAAGTAACCTGGCCTGGGGAGGGAGTGTGTGTGTGTGTGTGTGTGTGTGTGTGTGTGTGTGTGTAAATTTAAAATAGCTCCTCTTTGCTGGCTGTAGTCAGGAAATTGTCTCCAGAGACTTGGGGAGGATTCCAAGAGTCAGCCTTTTCTATCAGTGATCCCCAAGGGCTTATTCTGGACATCGAGGAGACTGGGGAAGGAAAACCCATGCAAGCAAGGGATGGATGAAAAAGAGTAAGGCGTGAGGAATCCAAGACTGCATATGCAAAAGCTGGAGGGAGACTGAGGTCAGTTCAGGCTTGGGGAGGCCGGTGAGGACCCAGGACTTGTCCACCAGGGACCAGGAGCCCCCTGCCCTGTTCCTCACTGGGGGTACCTGTGGATGCTATCCTCAAGGACAGCGTGCAAATAAAATGTGAACAGGCTCCAGAAAGACTGTAAGGCCTTGACCTGTAACAGGCTCAGAGGGATGGATGGTACGCCTCAAGCAGGTCCCTAACAGGCAATCAGGAGAGTGCCAAGGATTCCTGGTGGGGCAAAAACTCAGGGTCACTCTCTGCAGGACTGACCTAGAGGCTGGTGGATGGGTTCCAAGGAAAAACGTAGCACCTTTCAGAGGTCCGCAAGTGCTGGCTATGGTCCCTTTGCTTTTAGTCCAGGCGATGACCCCATGTTTGTCTCCTCCCCCGTGACCTTAGGTCCCCATTCTCCCTCCCCACGGCCTCGTGGTAAAGAATGGAGACTTCACCTCCTGAACTCATAGCTCACACTTCCCATCAAACTGGCACGGAAGCTTCCTGACAGATCAGGCAAGCTGATGGTGGACAGCTCCTTCTTCAGGGTGGCCATTCCATATCGGCGGACTGTGGGCAAGCAGAGGGAGTTAGCTCACTCAGCTGGACGTAGCTAGGCAAAACTGTTGAGTAGCCGGGCTTTGGAATCACAAGGACGGGGATCGAATGCAAGATTCTCCACTTACGACTGGTGTATCCTAAGAAAGTCCCTTAAATCCCCTGAGCCTCAGTTCCTCCACATGTAAATGGTAAATAATACTAATAATACTACCAACCTGAGCCTGAGAATGAAATTAGATCGTGAACTCAAAGTGCCAGGTAAATGGCAACTATTGTTTTTTATTCATTCCACCAGATCGTGGCAGCGATGAGGGAATACCATGGGACTTTTAAGGAATCCTTTCCAGCTGTGTGGTCAAACCCTAGGGTTTTCGGATGTGTTAACGGACCACAGTCACCGACTATTGCTTGGGCCATATGCCAACAATGCAGATTCCCAGGCCTGATCCAGTCAATCTTGGGTGGATCTCCACAATTGTGTCCCAGCGATTCTAGTGTGGGTGGTCCACAGACCACCCTGGGAGAAGTGCTGACCTAATCCTACCCTCAACCTCTGGTAATTCAAGCTGAGGAAACTGAAGCCCAGAGGGTGATATGTCCAAGGTTTCTAAGCCAGGAAGCCGCACAACTTAAGTCTGTGATTTTTTTTTATCCTGGATATACCACTCTATTAGGCAACAACAGGCCCCCAGAGGAATGACCAAATCCACTTACCATATTCCAGGCCTTCTCCGGTGATCCTGGCCACAAACCCGGGATTAGAAGCCCCTTCTCCAAGCCTGGAGACCTCTGCCAGCAGCAGTAGGGCCACTACCACACAGGATGGACTGGCCATCATCTTATTCTCAGCTCCTTCCTGGGCAGAGGTTGGTCAGGGTCTCTTTGTAGGAAGCTCCGTTCCTGAAGGTGACAGCAGAGGCTGAGGTCCTTATAAAGCCAGGGGCCACAGGAGGAACTGAGGCAGCTGGGAATAAGGGCGGGGAAGGTTCAAGGCTTTGCGGCAGCCTAAGTTTCAGCAACTTGAGATGGGAAGAGATTGCTTATGAAACCATTTGTGGTTTAATTTCTGGTCAGAAATGGTGCTGTGATTTCTAGTTTCTTTCTCTGCCAAATACTGCTTGGAGCTGAAGGAACTTCCCCGCCACACCTCTCTCTAGCTGAACACCTTCCATTCATTCCCCGTTACCTACGGACTGAAATCTAATCCCCCAGCCTAGCCGTGGTTGCAGCCACCACAACTCGGCTGCAAGGCACTTCTCCAACCAGAAAAGCCCCAACCCGCTGAGCCTCCACTCCGGCTCCGCTGGATGGATTCTGCTGTTATCCGTGTACATCAAGCAAGAACAGCCGGCAAACACAACCGATGGATTTTGCAACTCTAGGCTCCAGGAAAGTTTGGATTTTCTATTGCCTACATTGTTTTTTAGTCAATTTGATTGGGGCATACTTTGTAGCTAATAAAATGCACACATTTATGGTTCTCTGAGTCTTGGCCAATGTCTGCACCCATGTCACCACATGGTAATCAAGATAGAAGCCATTTCTGTCACCCCAAGAAGTTCTCTCGTGCCTCTTCCCAAGCTCCTTCCCACCCGCTATGCCCGGAGACCACAGATTGCTTTCTGTTACCCTTGCCTCATGTTGCCCATTCTAGAACTTCCCATACATGGAACTGTCCAGCATGGATGCTCTTTTGACTGGCTTCTGCCAGGCAGCATCAGCTTTTGAGACAAACCCAGGTGTTTTGTGTATCAACAATCTGTTCCTTTTCATTGCAGAGTAGTACTCCGCACCGTGGTGTGAGCAATCCTTTTGTTGTATTTTAGATTTTCTTCAAATGGGAAATACATTCATGGCTCAGAAACCCATCAATCATAATAAGACGTGAAAAATCTCACACTCACCCTTCTTTTGCGCCTTCCCAGTCCGTATCCCCTCTTCATCAAGTCAGCACAAAATCCCACTGTGGTAAGTGCTAGGAGGCATGGGAGGTGCTTTGAGAGTTTGTATTCTAGAGCTTACGGGAACACACAGAGGGAGCAATGGAGAGAGGAGAGGTGCTCGCACTTGGTTTTGAAGTGCGCGTAGGAGTTTGGCAACTGAGAGCGGGAAGTTCTCCTAGGCCGAGAGGACAGCACGAGCCAAGGCGTGGAGAGAGCGCTGCACAGGTGAGACGGCGCAAGGCAACACGGGAGGGTCGGTGGCGGTGGAGGGGTGCGGAGGGAGGACAGGCGGTGGAAGAGGTGGAGGCAGAAGCACGGGCGGGGTCTCTCCTCTTGAACGGCCTTGTTGTTCGGTCCTTGAAGTAAACACACGGAAGAGTTTCCATTTCCCAGTCTTCGACCCTCCTTCTGCTGTGGTCTTCAGTTCTCCTTCCCTGAGCAGGAGGCTCCCGTCCTGACGTCTCAGTCCTGACTCCCTCGCTGTCCAGCCATGTTTGGTTGAACCTAAGCTTTGGTCCCGTCCGTGTAAACTCTCAGCCTCGTATTCTTACCATTTTCCCTTCACTCTCATGCAGGCTCGCATTGTTTTCATGGCTTGGAGTGAGCAAGCATGGGTGTTCATACATGTGCATGCATGTGTGTGTGTGCATGTGCGTATGGGGTAGTCTTCTCTTTCATGTACTCCTCCCTCTTCCCAGCTCTGTTCCAGTGCTGCCTGGGGGCGGGGGTGGTATCCGCTGTGTTTGTCTCAGTGGCGGTGGAGTGGCCCTGGCTGAGGGTCATTGCCGCTCACCAAACTTGAAGCCTGTCAGCCCAGGGTGGGTAAACAGAGCCCCCATCCATTCCAAGCAGCTCTTGCAAAGATCAGTCCTTGGGAGAATCATCCTCTACCTGCAGCCCCCTATTTCATGTCCTCAACCCTAGGCCATGGCCAGAATGGAGTCCAATTTTCCATCCCTTTGGAGAATGAACGGCATCTCAGGAAGTGGTTTTCGCCTCTTGTTCGTCTGCCTATGGCACATGGCACCCCTCGCCAATGTTCTCTCCCCCTGCTCCGGGTCACTAGGGCTGCCCAGCAAGCCCAGGCTCAGCTAATGGCCCATTAGGGAATGAGATGTCAGTCTGCTCCGTGCAGAGTCCCTACATTTTTGGGAGTGGTTCTCTTGGGGGCCTTTCTGCCTTGATTTCCTTTAGGGGAACCAACCAGTAGGAAATGATTTCCCCTTTCCCAGAGGATGGTATTGGGAAGGGATAGCTAGGGGTCTTTCTTTACAACTTCCAGCAAATAATTTAACCAAGAGAGTGGTCCGGGAGGCCAGCAGCCATTGGGGGATGGAGCACATCGACATTAAGGAGGTCCAGAGGGTTGGACCCCGGAATGATTCGGGGGCAGAACATCACATGCTAGGGCTGCTGTAACAGGGCACCTCGAGCTGCGTAGCTTCAACAACAGAAACTTATTTTCTCACACGTCCGGAAGGTAGACATCTGAGAGGAAAGTGCTGGAGGCACCGGCCCCTTCTCAGGGCTGTGAGTGAGAATCTGCTGTGGTCCTCTCCGCACATGTGCGGTGGTTTGCTGGTCATCTCCGGAGTTGTAACTGCATCATCCCGATTCTGCCTTCACCTTCACGTGCCGTCTCCCGGCGTGCGGGTCAGTCTCCAACTTTCTCCTTTTATAAGGATGTCCGTCCTCCTGAATTAGAGGCTCACCCCAGCGACCCGTCTTAACCACCTGTGTCTGCAGGGACCCTATTTGCAAACAAGGTCATGTGCTGTTAGGGATGAGGACGGCAGTTAAAGTCACAGAGGTGTGGAGCTTTGAGTCGGGGTCCTGTGTGACTGCTTCTTCAGGAGCCTGTATCTTATCCCCAAATGCAAATAATACCATCAGCTTGGCAGGGTTCTTATTGGGCAATGAGGAAATCCACATAGGGACTGTCCCTGAGCTGGCATTCTGAGATATCAGATTTTTCTACTTCTCTCCCCCTGAAACCAGCAGTAAAGAAAAACCCCTAATTGCAACTTTCGCTTCCTGTTTGGCCAGAATGTGAGGTTGGGACAGGAAATTGGAAGCTCACGCTTCTGAACTCAAGAGCTCAGGGCTGAAAATGTGCCTTCAAGCTATGTTTACGAGACCAGTGGGCCCTCCAGGCATCTCAAACGTGTCTGATCTGATGTTCCCTGGGGTTGCCCTCCCTGCAAAAAAACTGCCCTTCACCCAAATTCCTCTTCTCCCATGGACAGGGAGCTCACTCCAGACTGTGAACACCCAGCCTCGGCATTTTTTCTTCCCTCCCTAGGTGGGACCATTTGACCTTTATCTCGGGTCCACCCGCAGTCTACATAGATTTTAACCTGCAGCAGGAGTACTGTGCCCGCCCCCAGTTCATTGTCCAAGCTCAATGCCATTTATCTGTTTCTTCCAGGACGGGGCTGAAGCTCTCTAGCTTCCCTGTTGAAAAATGTCTTCATAGGCAACATCTGTCCATAACAAAAATGGTACAAACGGCACAAAAGGGTGAAAATACCCCCCCACCCCTGTCCCCAGTCCTCCAGCTCCCTTCCCCAGAGACAGTGTCTGTCTCGTGGTTCCAGAAGCACTTGGTCACCAAAGTACCTGGTGGCCACAGAATCACACCAGGCAACTAACACGAGTTCTTACACCTTGCTTTTTGCACTTAACATTAGAATTTGGACATGGTTTTTCATGGCAAAGAAAAAAAAAGGAGATATAGGGGACATTTACAGACTTTAGAGATTAAAGAGAGATTGTCTGGATCCTGAGACAAACCAGCTGAGTAGGCGAAAACATTTATGAGACCAGCAGGGAAATGCAAACACTGATTGGCTATTTTGATGGTGTTGATGAATTACTATTAAATTTTAAGGTGTGACAATGGTATTGTGGCTATGTAAACCATTCTTGCTTTTTAGATATCTGTACTGAAAAACTTATGGATGAATGTTCAGGATCTTCTTTAAAATGACCCAGCGGCGGGGATGGGGAGCAGACAGGTTAGGTGAAATGAGAGTGGCCGTAGTTAGTCGCTGAAGTTAGGTAATATTTACATCCGTGGGAGTTTATTATAAAATTCTCTCTAATGCATCTTGAAAACTTTCATAATGAAAAATAGTCTTTCTTAAATGTTTCCAGCTGCTCAATTTCTGGCTAGTAGTGTGTATAAGTGTCCCAACAGGAAACAGAAGACACATTTAAGTTGGAACAATTAAAGGAGGATTTATTTACAAAGGGGCTATTTTCAGAGGCATGGGATAGGTATAAAGGAACCACAGGGACCTGGAGTTAGTGACAGCTGAACTGTTATATCCCCAGGTACAGAGGGAGAAGGGAGAAGCAGCCACTGGACTGGAAAAAGAATGTGTTTTTTTAAGATTTTATTTATTTATTTTTAGAGAGAGGGGAAAGGAGGAGGAAAGAGAGGGAAAGAAACATCAATGTGTGGTTGCCTCTCACATGCCCCCTACTAGGGAGCTGGCCTGCAACCCAGGCACATGCCCTGACTGGGAATCGAACTGGCAACCCTCTGGTTCACAGGCTGGTGCCTTTGTTGCCTTCTTATTAGAAGGACAGATAGAAAAGTAATGACTTACTATCTCTTTCTTGTTCTTTTCTAAACTCATGGTAATCAGGTTTCATTCCCACCACTTTACCACGGCTGTTCTCATTGAGGTTACCTACACACTCCACCATCCCAAATCCAATGGCCAATTCTCACTCCTCATCTCGACCCACCTCTCAGCAGCATTTGGCACAGCTGATCTGTTCCTCCTTGAAACATTTTCTTCATCGGGCTTCTGGGACAACACTTCCTCCTGAATTCCCTCCTACCTCATTTTCTCTTCCTTCCTTCCCTCTTTCCTTCCTTCCT